AGTTCTACCCTGTCCTATAGGGTCCTTACGAGTTGGAATCGACTTGATGGTAACAGGTTTTTTTTTCCTATTCACAAACCCATGAAGGCCCATTTACCTCTGAATCCAAACCATCTCCGCCTTCAGAAACATTTTTCCTCCTAGAATGCACACCAGGCATGCTCCTGCCTTAGGGTCTCTGTACTTGTTGTTCCCTCTGCTGAGAAGCACTTCCTCAAAAACCCACGTGGCCTGCTCCCTCACGTGGACAATTACTCAAGGCAGAGTCTTCACATTCTTCGACATCTCCGTGTCTCGTGGTCCCTGACGTGATCAGAATGCTAGTGCAGGAACGGGCCACAGCTACCACTGTTCAGTGGTTCACAGACTTGGCTCATCATTAGAACTACCCGACAGCTTTTTTGTTTTTGTTGGATCAACAAAGGTTCTCAGGCTCCACCTCGAGGAATTTGGTTTAGTGGACCTGAGAAGTGAGGCTCAGGAATCTGTATTTTTAAAAGCACTTCATATATTTGGGAACCACTGACCACCACCTCTATATTTGAGAAAGGAGAATTAAACCCTTGAAGATACAACAGGTGATGGATATAGGTACACCAGATACCCAAACATCCCATATAAACTTGGGACCCCATAAAAGAAGAAAAGAGGAGTTCCAGGAACTCTGGCGTTTCTAGAGCCCAGAGGCTGGCTATGGGTTCTCTTTGGTGAGTTTTGACTCGAAGTCCAAATTATAGCTTGGGTCACTGCTGATGGGTCACAAGTGATTGCTCTCACCAATTTCCACCAGGGCTTGCTACGGTATTGTTCTGCATTTCTTCAGCTTTTGTTACTATAACAATAAAAGGATAAGGCTAAGCCAGAGCCTGACTTACAACAGGAATCATCACAGGAGAACCAGGAATCGTGGACCTGTTCAGCAAGTATTCAGTTCAGCGTACAGCTGAGCAGAAACTTGAGGAAAAAGGCTTTCAAGCTGAACATTGACTCATCTGCAGATGCTAAATCAGAGCAACTTTGTCTTCTGTCTGGAACACTGTCATTCTGGAGACAGTGAGTTATGGTGACTACCGACAAGTGCTTTACCCTGTTATGTCATCAATACTTACCAAAATAAGACCCAGACAAAAGTCCGTTAGTTGCCAGCTTCTATGAAGCGAGTTCACATACACTTCAAATCCCCTGTATTAAGACTGCTCTAATTCATCTGCAAGAAGAGACATGGCCTCAGAGGGAAAGGATGAATGTTCTTTAAACCTGCATCAGACATGACACTGCAGGAATACTAGGTCACCACTGCATTCCTTCATTCATTCACTCTATCATTCTTGAATTACATCCCAAAACCCCACAGATCAGCCAGTGGAAATAGATTCTTGTACAGGAGCCCTGGTAGCGCAGTGGTCAAGCAGTTTTGGAATCTACCAGCCACTCCCTGGAAGCCCTGTGGGGCAGTTCTGCTCTGTCCTGTAGGCTCTCTCTGAGTTGGAACTGACTCCCGGCAACTGGTTTTTTGGTTTTGGAACTAGTCAAAGAAAACTCACAGCACATAAAATCAGTGTACGGGGAAGGAATGTAGGAAGGAGAGAAGAACTTGTGACAGCCAATACCCAACCTTCTGAAAGAGCCACACCCAGCAATTTACAACCTCCTATGAAGCTTGTCACACAACACAAGACCATCAGCTGACCCGGGTTTGTTTGTTTCTCTATGAACTTCACGCAACCTGTGCAATAGCTGCTTTTTCTAACAAGCACCATCAAAGCAGCATGGCTTCCACACAGTGATTTTACAGGCAGGACACAGTGAAAAAGTCTCTTCTTTCTCTTAATAGTGTTTTACTAAGATCTTCAGAATCCTTTGGTCTGCTGCCTTGGCCTATCTCTCTCTAGATCTGTGACTATTTTTGTATTTCCTAGTCAGTAACCCTATAAATAAAGATGGGTGGTAGGATCAGGGTCAGCTTATCTCTGTCAAACAGTTCACTCGGGGAAAAATACACCCTGGCTTCTGTACGTACTTTCTTGTGAAGCAACTACCACAAACCATCTGAGGATTTGGTTGTTGTTTAATTAATAGGATTAATTAGTCTAAAATATAGGTAAGTCAGATGCCACACTCATTCAGTCGTCTGCCCCTTCTGTCCTGGTGACTCTAGGGCAATACAGGGATTTTCTTCTGAATGCAAATTTCAAGATGTGAAACTGTAACGCACGATTGACTCTAAAGTGCTCTGTTTCCGTTCCTCTTCCGTGTGTAGAAGGTATGCTTTAAAGTCAAGGTTATGCCAAGTGTTCTCTTGCCATCAGAGAGACAATGATTCAGAGATAAGTCTGGTAAACACTCCCAGACTCCTCATATAAACAGCCTTAATTTCCTGGGAAAGTTTGAAAAATCCAAAGTTATCAGCAGTTTCACTGTAGTCAATATTTTGAGAGAGAAGATTGAAAGCAATTATTTGAAGACTACACCATATACTCTGCATCATATTTCAAAGAGTTACTAGATTTGAACCGAATTTCAGCAAAGAATTTTTCACTGACAAACCATTTAAGATGTCTCAACAAACTCTGTAGATTTTTGTTGACTCTGGAATTTTGTGATATAAATTGACCCCCAATAACTGTGACTATAGTGGGTAAGAGGGAGGGAGGTGAAGATTTAGTCTAACTTCTGTCCTGAAATGTTCCATGCCACATGAACCACAATAAACCAAAAAGGCCCAAACCCATTGCGGTCGAGCCGATTTAGACCCATAGCGACCCTACAGGACAGAGTAGAACTGCCCCACAGGGTTTCCAAGGAGCAGCCGACGGATTCCAACTGCCGATCTTTTGGTCGGCAGCCGAATGCTTAATCACTGCGCCACCAGTGCTCCTGAACTGCGGTAGAAAGACTGAAGTGTTTCTTTTTGCATTGAGCTGTGTGTCTTTTACACCTGTAGCCACTGTCAAGTATCCAATACAACTCCACACATTTGTGGAATCTTTCTCCTGACCTTTGGAATAACTGGAAAGTTACTGTTTATCGGTGTGCTCAACTAAGAAGACCACCTAAAACTACTGACCTAAGATACCCAAGAGCACACAGGGAGCTGGAAGTCATACCTAGCTGACTGCCATGTGACTTAGACAAACAGATAACTCGTGAGTGTTTGGGAGCCAGATCCTTACTGTGCAAGCTCCTGTCAATAATTCACTTCTGTCCTCGAGACTGGCCCAAGTCCTAAAGAAACTCATGGAAACCAGGCAACACACTGCAAACAACGAACATGTTTCAAGACTAGAGGAAGGAGAAGAGAAAGTGGATGAGGTCTACCAAGACAACTGGTCCGACTAGCAATGAATTCCAGTTAATTGGCAAATATACTAAAATAGTAAATCTAATGGAAGTGAAAATAAGGAAAGGAGATAGTGAATAAGTTTAAAGTGTTGTTTAGATTAAAATGATTAAAATCCTACCAAAAAACAGCAAGCTCATTGAACACGAGAAACAGCAGCTCATATCAAAAAGTTTAGAAGTTTTAAAAAAAATTAATGTGTGGACACCTGCCTGCCCCAGCCCAAAAAGAACTATTTGGGGGTCGAGAATACTATAAAATAATAAAAACCGGGAATACAAGAAGACCCTAAAACTGCATCTTAGAATCACAGAGCAGGAAGGAATTGTTCAAATAATCTAAGCCTATGACACGGTTTAACAGTGGAGAGTGAGGCCCAGAAATGCCAGGTGACTTGCCCATGGTTACAAAGCTCTTGGGCAGCAGAGCTGGGGATCAGAATCCAGGATTAGGACCCGGATAAACTGAGTGCTAACCCTGGACTCTCTTCATCGTTCAGTTGCCCTTTCGTGATAGGAAACAGATTAAAAATAGATATTATAAAAGTGAAATTCTTATCTGATCACTCAGATGTATTTGTATCACATTATCCATTACCTCCTCCCCTACAAATACATCTCTCTAACTGAGTGGGCAGCATGTGATCCAACACCCATAAAAGGCCTTCCACACTTCCCCCATCTCTTCAATCTACCGGGCTCTTACACTACAGTATTGGCTTACTGAGTTTCTAGGAAAGAAAGACAACGAGTTTTATATGACAAAAACTACATCCCGATTGTTTTTAATCAAATCAATAAACACATTTATGGGGTAAACAGTTTATAGGTCAAGAGGGCAGCATATTACTTTGGAGAAAACTTCTGTAAGAGAGAAAAAAAATATTTAAGTGGATTTAGAAACTTGCTTTCACACTGATCATGAGAGCTTAACCTTTGACTTTCCTTACTATCTACATAAGATTTTAGAATGAAATTTGATTCTCAAAGCATCCTTCCTTTTCACTGATATGCAAAAAAAAATTATTTATAGTGTTTCACTTAAAAGAACTACTACTAAAATTAGTGAATTCTCCCAGAATGAATGAAACAATCAACTTAAAGGAATGTAGCCAGTATAACAGGTAGAATGTTATCCTTTTTAGACAAGCTCCATTAACAAAATGCATTGATCATAATCCCACCCTTCCCAGGAAAAGAATTTTCAGAAGAAGACTGGGCTCTCCCTCACAAGCCTGCCTTCAACTGGAAAAGCATAACCGCCCACCAGTCATTCAGACTAGGCAGTGAGGAGTCCCAGTCCAGTGCCCTATGTGCTGTTACTTCAGACCTTCAACGTTTCCCCCTGATGATCACTGTGAATAGTATTGTCCAAGCTTAGACACAGGACAGGGAGGAATCACTGCTTAGAAATGGGCCCCCACAGAGGTAAGAAAAAGTGAAGAAGAAAGCAGATGGGCAGTAGAAACACAAAAAAACAGTCATGCCTGCACCTTTTCTATAAAGACTTGCCTCTGCACGCCCACCAGCGACCCCATCTCCCCTACTCAGAAGCACTCTCAAAAAATAACCGTCAAATCAACACAATTTCATCTGCTTGGCACTCAGTGAATTAAGCCAAAATTTCTCCTAGACTTTAAAGTACAATGAAAGCTTCAAACCTGCTGTGGAGTTCCGTGGTGTGACCGGTGTCCCTTCCTACCCTGGCACGTTTTCGCAGATTTTTGCACAAGAACGTCTTGTAAGTCCTCCCAGCGCCAGACATGGCATCACTCACACATCTGGCCGACTCCTGCCAGGCCCCTGGCCGGTTTGTGGTCTTCGCCGTGCCACCACACATGCCTTGAGCGGTTTCACGTTCTTCCGGTTTATCCTGACCATCAACATGGACTTGGACACAATTTTGGAAGGTCCTTTGTCATTTAAGGGATATTCCGCTGTGACCAGCAGCTCTGAGTAATTGTTCACTCCCTACACAGCAGTGAGACAAACTACTTGGCAGCAGCCTCCTAATTTCCTCTTTCAAAAGTCAGGGGAAAAAAAGGAACATTCATTTGTTACGTAAATTAAGCCCTTAACGACTTAGGAAGTCAGATGCATCCATCCAAGTTATAAAACTTGCTCTCAGCAGCCCCATAATAAACATAGACCAGTCCAAATCCCACTTCCTACTTTTGTTCCTAAGCTTGTACTCTGGTTAGCTAAAGACAAAAACACTCAACAGGTTGAGCAGCTTGGAATGACTCACCCCATCTGCGCTCCCTAGCTGGAGATTATGTAGTAGTCAATTAATCAGTCACAAGACCTATTCATATGGCTTTAGGTAAACGCAGTGACTTGCCTTCAGCTGCAAGGTTGTTCTGACATTGGCCACAACACCCTCTTAATGGCCCTCATGTGAAGCAGTGTCAGCTGACAGGTCTTACTTTGCAACCTTGCAAAATTCTACCCATAGCAACTCAGAGATGGTTACCCAAACAGCCTATCGCCAAATGGAGGGCTTCATGTATAGCAGGTTATAGGGGGCAGGACAGCTGGGACACCTCGGTACTTTAGTCAAACAAAAAACTTCATGAAAAAATAATAATAATAACAATAAATGAGAAACCATAACCCCTCAAAACTCTTGCACTGAATTCCTAGGCATATTCAAACGGAAAAAGCCTGGAACTACTAGAATGTGAAGACAAAGGCAGCGCAACTTTGCCTTCTGACACTACCATATTTTATCTGTAAAATGAGAATAATGTTACAGAATCAATACAACCTTTTCAAAGTACTGTGAGTTCACAGAGAAAGCATTTTTTCCTTTTAGAAGAGTTAAAAAGCACAGATCCCTGAAATACAAGTCAAATCCTGTTACAAGAAACTACAATGGACTGATCTCAATTACCTTAAGACATTATTACGTGTATGACCCCTAAAGCTCCTCCATGTTGTCACTGTTGCGTGCCATCAAGTTGATTGCGACTCATGGCGACCCCATGTGACAGAGCAGACCTGCCCCAAAGGGTTTCCTAGGCTAGAATCTTACGGGAGCAGATTGTCAGATTTTTTCTCCTGTGAAGTGGTTGGTTGGTTTGAACTGCCAACCTTTTAGTCAGCAGCTGAGCATTTAACCACTGCACCACCAGGGATGCTTAGCTTTACCGAGTCTAAAACGAAATGAAAGTATAAGTTCAATGTTGATTTGGGAGAGAGCTTTAAAAATGCCAAAATAACAGAATTTTATAAAATACGGAGAGGAAACAGTGGGAGAATAAATTCCACCTCTATGTAAAGAAAAAGTGAAGTTTCGTTTTAAAAATTCAATCTCCAAAAGATATTTATCCAGGACCTGATGAAAGAACGTGAAATCTCTTTTTAAAACATCTATTCTGTGCGTACATCTACGTAATAGTTAGTCACAAAGCTGTTCGATCATTCTGATAAGTGTTTTTACACTTCCAAATGGCTTCAAATATTGTTATAAAATGCAAATTTTATTCCTTACTTGGGAGATACAAACACTTTAAATAATTGGAACAGTTAAGAGATGAAAGTGACGAGATGGTTACAAACGGCATTTGGATGAAATAATATTAAAGACCTAACTGCATTCAGGAAGAATCCCCTTAAGCAGAAACTAAGCCCAACGGCACAGGGAACGCTAACCCTCTTCTGGGCATCCCCTTTGTTCAGCGAGCCATCTTTAACCAGGCACTTACTGTGGTGCTAGTTATTACCAGTAAACCAGGTACTAGGGAGTCAGCTCCAACTCATGGCAAGCCCACGTCTGTCAGAGTAGAACTGTGCTCCACAGGGTCTTCAGTGGCTGATTTTTCAGAAGTGAATCACCAGACCTTTCTTCTGAGGTGCCTCTGGGTGGACTCAAACTTCTAACCTTTCAGTTAGCAGACAGGAGCATTATTTGACTGTTTGCACCCCGCAGGGACTCTGCCAGTTATTGCCTCTCCCTAAATTCAGTCAGCACACCTTTGAGCCATCACTTCCTTGGCACTTAAACCACCCCTCCCCCCCAAAAAAACCCAAACCCATTGCCGTGGAGTCGATTCTAATGCACAGCAACCCTATAGGACAGAGCAGAATTGCCCCATAGAGTTTCCCAGGCTGTAGTCTTTTACAGAAGTAGAGTGGCTGATGGGTTTGACCATCGACCTTTTGGTTAGGAGCCTAGCAGCCAGACGCTTAACCTTAACCACTACGCCACCAGGGCTCCTTTGCTTATAAACACAGATTGCTAGGCCCACATGCGGGTTTTCAGATTCAGTAGGTCTGGGATGGAACCTGAGAATTTACATTTCTAACAAGTTCCTAGGGAGCTATTGCTACTTGTCCGGGGACCAAACATTTGAGAACCATTTCCTTAGTAAAAATTCCATCATATTCATCAAGACTTTCCTGATAAGCTAAAAGATCCTTTTTCCCTTGAATTCCTCTATAAATTTTTTTAACCACACTTTTAACACTTAACACATAAGTGCTTTGCAATAGACTATGATACTTGTCTTATCATTCTAACTAGATCATAAGTTCTTTGAATATAAGAACTAGGTCTCGATATTCACCTTTGTATCTTGTACAGGTCTTAGACATGGTGGTTGCTCAACAGAAACTTTCAGGTTGGTTTATTAACAATGAGTATTTGTGTTAAAATTCTGAAATGCAAGACCTCATCAACCCTGAGACCAAAAGAACTAGCTGGTGCCCGGCTACTACTACCGACCGTTCTGATCAGGAACTCAATAGATGGATCCTGACAGAATGGGAGCAAAACGTGGAACACAATGCAAATTCTTAAAAAGTCCGGACTTACTAGACCAGTTGAGACTGGAGGACTCCCCAAGACTATCGCCCTGAGATACTCTTTAAACCCTGAACCAAAACTATTTCATGAGATCACCTTTTAGCTAAATAAGACTGGTTCATAAAATAAACAATATCACCCTGAGTATTGTGCTCCTTTACAAAATCATCTACATAAGACCAAATGGTCAACACTTACTGTAAAGCAAAGATGAGAAGGCAAGGGAGCAGGGAAACTAGATTACTGGAAATGGAACAACCAGAGCAGAAATAATGAGAAGGCTGACATGCTGTGAACTGTGACCAATGTCACTGAGCAAACCGTGTAGAAATTGTTAAGTGGGAACCTAACTTGCTGTGCAAACTTTCACCAAAAAAAAAAAAAAAGTTATTAAAAAAAAAAAAAAGGATGATATGAATTTACTTACAAGCAGTGTACTTCTTTGTCTAATGAGCCTGCACACATGCTTTCTCTCTCTCCGTCTCTCTCACTTAACTACTGCACAAGTTTCTATAGAGGCTTCAACACCTCGTGTTCACGACAAACTGACTCATCTGGTAGCTTCAACAGAAAGGACTTTGAGACTTAAAAAGTGAAAATGCTATTTCTTTTGTTCCTCCCCTTAGCAGCCCTTAGTTCCACAGTTCAAAATCTGATAAAATGTAATACAGCAGAGATGCAAATCAAAACCACAATTACTGTACTTAAAAGGGATGTCTCTGTATGACCCCAATTTTCCTCATACTCACATGGGAGTTCTAAGATGTCTTCATTAAACGGAAAGCAAGTAATAATTATATTATCACAACCACTCTCCTGAGAAATTGGAGCAGCTGATAGGATAGCTTAGAGAACACTAAGTTTAGACATTTGGTGCCCAAAAGTCTGTTCTCTCTCTTAATTCAATCACTGTTTTCTCGGTCTTCCCTGAAACAGCATCATACATTTACCTAGGTACTTACACTACTACTCATTATCATACTGGGTGTCCTGCTCTCATATATCATCAGCTCTATCGCAGCCCTGGTCAGGGTCAAGTTCTCTACTTCCCTCCCACCGTTCACCCATGAAATGCAGGGCGTACACCAGCGTGTACACCGTGTACACATCTAGAACAAAGCTGCGGTCCCTCACTGGACTCCCACGCCCCACGAGCAGTTCAGTGTGTTTGCCTGGAAGTGCCACTGTGGTCACAGATGCCGACACAACACGGGTGAACCTGGCCAGACGCTGGAAGGGAGGGCCAGAAGTACAGAATGTCATGAACCCGTGCGTTACGGAAAAGGGAGGGAGACTACGGTTTCAGCTTTTTTAAGCTGCTTTTTGCATGTTTCCAATATTCTGTCCCAGGAACGGCGGGGTCCTAGAGAAAAGTGCCCCATCTGTCAAGAAATGGCACAGGGGCCGTTTAGATCAGAGAGGGCAGTTATCAGGTACTCTAACACCTCTCCACCCTCTCTGCCCATGATTAAAACCTCCGCTCCACCTGAGCACAGTTCTGCTGCGGCCAGACCCCTCTCCAGGCCCTTCCAATCTCAAGCTCCGGGGCCCCTCCTCCAATCCATTACAGATTTGCCACCTGAGGAAAAAACCCACCTCCAAAAAAACCTTGGAACTTAGGTGTCTGCAAAAGGGACTCCAGAGCAGACCTAACTAACAGGTTATACCGGTAAGGTGATGAGGTGACTCTGGGCAGGGGCTGGCCAGGCCAGAAGGACCCACCATGATCACCTCGTGGTATCTGCTGACCTCAGGGGAGAGAGGCTGGAGTCTGCATTACCTAACGAAACCCCCAATAAAACCTCTGAGCACCAAAGCTCCACGGCTGGTGAAAGTTGTCCATGCACGGGGGAGGGTAGTGTGTCCCCTTCTGGGACACGCGAGCCCCACACTGGGAACCCTCCCAGACCCTGTGCATCTCTGTCTGTATCCTTTTTCGCTATAATAAAGTTGTCACCGTATGCATAGCACCTTCCATGAGTTCTATGATTCACTCCAGGGAATTACCAAACCAAAGGAGTAGTGGGGGCCAGCAGGTCAGAAGTGAGGGGGGCTGGGAACCCCTGAGCTTACGGCTGGTATCCTGGTAGCCAGTAGGTCAGAAGTGAGGGAACCCAGGGGGCCCTGATCTTGCAGCTGGCACCCTGAAGGGGTCTTGGGAAACCCTGGAATTAGTAGCCAGCAGGTCAGAAGCAAGGAAAGCACTCCCAAGCCTGCAGCTGGCATCTGAAGTCTCGGGCCGACTGGCAGCCTGAAGGACAGTGTCCTTTTAACTTGGGAGACCTGACCCAGCTCCGCATGGCGAGGGTCGGACAGAGAAGTGCTGCACGGGCAGCTGGAGTCAGAGCTGAACAGAAAAGTGAAAGGTGGCTATTTTGATCTGATATTTGGATTTGAGATTTGTCCACACAAATCAACACATTTCTGTAGTCTCTCTAGCTTACTTACACTCTGCGGGTGATAAAAAGTAACAATCACTACATGTAATGAAAAATTAACTCAAAAGCCACAATTCACAATTGAGAGAGGTCGGTTTGAAGTGAAAAAACTAAGGCCTCGGATTAAAAAAAAACAGTTGCCATCAAGTCAG